TAGTCTGTAATGAGGTAGGCTGGTGAGGAGGGAGTTGCAGTAGTCCAGACGTGAGATAATAAGGGAGTGAACGAGTTGTGCCCACCCTTTTTGCCTCCTCCCCCAATCTCCTTATAAAAGCCATACTATTGCTTTTCACTTTCAAAGAAAAGCACTCTATGAATGGAGGAGGTGGACCTTTTATTCATTTTCATTATGAAAACAGTAGTACAGCTTCTGTGAATGGAGAAAGGCAACAGCAAGAATAGAATGGGCATAGTCAACACTTTTGACAAGTGCCTGTGACAGATCCAGCAGCAACAGTGAAAGAAAAAAAACAGTGTGCACTTAAACCACCTCACAATATATCCCGTTCACTGCAGCCCCATATCTACATAGTAAAAACAACAGTTAGGCATACTTTGGTAAGGTCTGTTTGCCCTGAGTAAAACACTGTGCTGCTAGACAATGTTACAAAGTTCTACCAATTGTGAGCTGAGCTCTTATTTCTTGAAGGAAAACACCTGCCTGTATCTCTACTGCTACATTTTTTGCTTCACAATGTCTTTTAAGCTGCCCATTTTTTACTCAGCTGTATCTTAGAGTCTTGACAGAAATTGGGCATTTTTGTATCTGAAAACAGGGGCAGCTTCAACAAGCCATTGGTCAGTTTCTACCCACCAGTTAAAGCAGGTCAATTGCTGTTTGATGAAAAAGCAGGTGTGCTGCGAAAACTACCTAAAAAATTTAAATTAATCAAATTGGGGTGCTGCTGTGTTTAAGAAAATGTATTTAGTAAACAAATAAATAAATTCCATAGTCTATTTTTACAATAGCTGGCCTATTAGACCTAAAATATCCAGAATCAACAAACGAGATTCGACCCCCCCCCCCCCTTTCCTTAAATACCTAAAAGAGATTTGCGCCAATGTTTGGCTCTTCTGAATTTCTAGCACAATAATTAAACCCTGAGATTCACTGTTCAATGTACTCAATAAATTTACATGGTGCTTGATATACATGATGTCATTACCACCCAGTGCTATACTGTATATTTGATCTAATATCCTATGAAACAAATCAACAAATCAGTTTTGGAATATTTGTTTAAATGAAAGGGTGCAGGCTTAGCAGATAAATACTGTACCCAAAAAAGGGCAGCACAGTGGCTTAATGGTTAGCACTTCTGCCTGGCAATACTAGGGTTGCTGGTTCAAATCTCAACTACAGCATCACCGGTCTGGAGTTTGCATGTTCTCCCTGTGCCTGCGTGGGTTTCCTCCATGTACTCCAGTTTTCTCCCACACTCCAAAGGCATGCTGGTAGGTTAATTGGCTCCTGTCTAAATTGGCCATAGTATTTGTATGTATGAAAGTGAGTTATATTATATTGTTATACTTATATTTTACACCCCTTGAGGGTTAGGGACCGATGTGAATGTACAATACATGTATGTAAAGTTCTGCGTAAATTGACATCGCTATAAGTACCTGAAATAAATAAATGTTATTTATTTATATATATATATCTGTTCTGTTTTGCAAACTTTTTGTTTGCACCCATGTGGGTGAGAATCAGTAAAGAGCAAATATATGCACAAATCAAATGGATCAGGGAATCGGTAAAAAGTTTCTCTTTTGCCTTGATATATATGTGTAATTTCACAAATATATGCACAAATCAAATGGATCAGGGATCAGGGAATCAGTAAAAAGTTTCTTTTTTTGCCTTGATATAAATGTGTAATTTCAATTCTGTCTAACTAAATCAGCAATTTTCCTGAATCAGTTACATACATATATATATATATATATATATATATATATATATATATATATATAAATATGTTACTTCTCCATTTTACACATTTGCATTGGAAGGATCAGCTGAAACAACTGGTAAAAGTTCCTAAAAAGTAGGAAGAAGTTAAACATGATCTATATATCTATATATATCTGACAGCTAAATCACTTCACACTTCTCTCTACCCTGCATCTTATCCTTTTCTGACCTAGTATACACCAGTTTGAGAAATCATTATGTTATGAATAACCAAGATAAGTGCTTTTTGCTCAGATTTTCTCCTTATCAACTTTTCATGAAAACTAGTGGCTCGGAAGACGCATGCTGTTATCTGCTATCTTTACAAGTGACTTGCTACCCTTTTATTTGTCTCTCCAACCTATCAGCAATAAAAGAACACAGAGAAAAAAAATGACTGGGTTGAAGGGCAAAGCTTAAAATGAATTGACAAGGTGCATCTTTCTTTAGATATTATAACAATTATTCTATACTTACATGACTATAGTTGAATGCAAAGCCGCAGGGAAGATTTTTTTTCTTTTTTTACCCAAAATGAGAACACAGCATTTACAGTGGGAGGCAGGTGTGTGCACCAGCGAAAGAAGCATCAGTGTGATATATTTAGAATCGCAAATGGAAGTAAACTACTGTATTTCTACCACAGGGGAAAATGAAAAAGCCTGAACATAGAGAGAAAAATCCCTGCTTGTTAGCCCAGGAGAATTTTAATTTACTGACAAGAAGAAATATAATCTCATCACGGTAGGTACAGCAAGAACCAGGTGTTGTTCACAATATTGTATTTGAATTGATGGTTTTCCATAGCAGTGAAAGGATGTAAAACAGCTGCCCTGACCATGTGCAAAGAAGGATGAGAGCTTTTAATTAGCTATAAGAATGCTGTTAATTTCACTGAAACCCTTCTTTGCTCACACACTTGTTTGAAATAGCAGCAGGGCTCTTATTGCTCCAAAAGTAAGAGATTTACAAAGCAAACAAGAAATGCCATTTGGCCAGAAATTAAATAGAGTTTTGATGTGGCATCAACAGAATGTGCACATTATTCTGTCAGGAAATGAAATGGCAAGGTTCTAGCGACACAGAAGGCAAAGATGAAGAAATTAATTTTCACTAATTGTCGTAACACGATATTTTATGCAAATGTATTCACTAAAAAAGACAAGCTGTGTAGGTAGAAAAAAATTAATAGAGATTAACTGCTTAAAATATGGCCAGGAGTTATGTTGCTTCCCCCCATGTAGCCTCCATGAAGATATACCTAGAAACATTACATTACAAAGAAAATCACTGCTCTGGTGGAGATAACATTCCGTTGCCTATATTTTAAAACAAGGGGCATTCACATACTGTATGACTAACATTAAAGGTAATGTAGCCATTAAAGGGATGGTTACCCATTTAAGAAACACCATACAGAAAAAAATATGGAGGCTTTTGCACTTCATTGGAATACCTTTGATAGCCCTATCCCACAGATTAACCACTTCCCATCCGGCCCATGTATATAAAAAACAGCCGGAAGGGAGCAGTGCAGGTGCGGGTGGCCGTTTATAAATGTCCTCCCTGCTTCCCTGCTTGTGTGCACTTTCTGGGAGCGCGCAGCACCGCAAACCGGTGCCCGCTGTGTCCTCCAGATACAGCGGAACACCGATCGCTGTATGGGAGCTCTGTGTGAGGTCCTGATCATGTGATCACTGATTGGCCAATCACTGATCACATGAATAGTGGTAAGCAAGATGTGACTTCTGACATCATTGCTTACTACTGGTGAAATCTGTGAATGATCACAGAGGTCATATGGTACAAAGCTATTCACAACAGCCTTGTACCATGTGACAAGCTGTGACCAATCACAGCTTGCACAGAATTTTTCAATGGCTGCAAGAATGCAGAACAGTTTACAATGTATGGTATGCAATGTACAGCAAAGCTTAGCAGAGTGCATAGCCATAACTATGTCATATAAAGCACAGCATACAGAGTAAAGCAGACGGGAGATTCTAACATAAAATACAGCTTACAGAGCACAGTGGTCAGTGCTGTATATATTACCTCAAAGTCTGTTAGGTGCAGTGTAGGTATGTAATGTACAGTACAGTTTAGGTAATGTAGGGGTTTCAGAGTAGGTAATGAACATCACAGCTTACAGCATGCATCTTTCAGAAGTATGATATGTGCAGAGTAGGCCCCCCATTTATATTGATGGCCAGTGATAAGTTTTTCTTTAACCACTTCAAGTTTGGATACTTTTACCCCCTTCCTTTCCAGGCCAATTTTCAGCTTTCAGTGCTATCACACTTTGAATGACAATTGCACAATTATGCAACACTGTACCCATATGAACTTTTTAGCATTTTTTTGAGACAGATACAAATTTATTTTGGTGGTATTTATTCACCACTGGAATTTTTTTTTTTTGCTATATAAATGAAAAAGTAAAAAAACTATGGGAAAAAAAAAGTGTTTTTTCTTATAAAATTGTGAAAATAAATACCTTATTTTTTGCTCCATAAGACGCACTTTTTTCCCCCCAAAAAAGGGGGGAAAATGTCAGTGCGTCTTATGGAGCGAATGGAAAGCAGCCGGTCTAGTATTTCTGCTGTCACCATGTCAGAATACCGGGCCAGCCGCTCAGCTCTTCTCTCCTGCAGGACCCTACCTGTTCCTCGCTCCAGTGCTGCAGTCTTCCCGCGGCGGCTTCTGTGACAGCCGGGTGCCCACTGCGCATGCGCAAGAAGCGCTGCGTTTTGTGAATGGTCCGGCATCTTCTGGGACACATGGCAGGTCCCAGAAGGCTCCGGGCCATTCACAAAGCGCAGCGCTTCTCGCACATGCGCAGTGGGCACCCGGCTGTCACAGAAGCCGCCGCGGGAAGAAGAAGGAAGGACAACTCTGTGGAAGTGGGGGAGCGGGTACCTGTCAAATTCAAGTACCCGTTCCCCCTCCCTCCCCAAAGGTCCGCAGTCTCTGGTAATCTCCTTTACTGTCTGCAGTCTCTGGACATCCCCTGCACTGTCTGCAGTCTCTGGTCTTCTGTACTATGTCCACAGTCTCTGGTCATTCCCTGTACTATGTCCGCAGTCTCTGGTCATTCCCTGTACTGTGTCCGCAGTCTCTGGTCAGCTCCTGTACTATGTCCGCAGTCTCTGGTCATCTCCTGTACTGTGTCCGCAGTCTCTGGTCCATCACCTGTACTATGTCTGCAGTCTCTGGTCATCTCCTGTACTATGTCCGCAGTCTCTGGTCATCTCCTCTACTATGTCTGCAGTCTCTGGTCATCTCCTGTAATGTGTCTGCAGTCTCTGGTCATTCCCTGTACTGTGTCCGCAGTCTCTGGCCATCTCCTGTACTGTGTCCGCAGTCTCTGGTCATCTCCTGTATGATGTCCGCAGTCTCTGGCCATCCCCTGTACTGTGTCCGCAGTCTCTGGTCATCTCCTGTATTATGTCCGCAGTCTCTGGCATCTCCTGTACTGTGTCCGCAATCTCTGGCCATCTCCTGTACTGTGTCCACAGTCTCTGGTCATCTCCTGTACTGTGTCCGCAGTCTCTGGTCATCTCCTGTACTGTGTCCACAGTCTCTGGTCATCCCCTGTACTGTGTCCGCAGTCTCTGGCCATCTCCTGTACTGCGTCCGCAGTCTCTGGTCATCCCCTGTACTGTGTCTGCAGTCTCTGGTCATCTCCTGTACTATGTCCGCAGTCTCTGGTCATCTCCTGTACTATGTCTGCAGTCTCTGGTCATCTCCTGTACTATGTCCGCAGTCTCTGGTCATCTCCTGTACTATGTCCGCAGTCTCTGGTCATCTCCTGTACTATGTCCGCAGTCTCTGGTCATCTCCTGTACTGTGTCGGCAGTCTCTGGTCATCTCCTGTACTATGTCCGCAGTCTCTGGTCATCTCCTGTACTATGTCCGCAGTCCCTGGTCATCTCCTGTAGTATGTCCGCAGTCTCTGGTCATCTCCTGTACTATGTCCGCAGTCTCTGGTCATCCCCTGTACTGTGTCTGCAGTCCATTGATTCAGAATATTTTTTTTCTTGTTTTTCTCCTCTAAAACCTAGGTGCGTCTTATGGTCAGGTGTGTCTTATGGAGCAAAAAATATGGTAATCTTTCTTCATAAATCTTAATTCAAAATGTATTCAGTTATCTTTTTAGTAAAAAAAAAATAGCCCAAATTAGTTTATAGCCAAAAATTATATTTTTTTAAAATGTTTTTTACATTTTTATTTTATTTATTTATGTGTTTTTTTTATAATATACTGTCCTCCTAGCAGTACAGTGTTGCCATAGTGACACTGTACTACTTGTGGGAGGTGATGAATATTTTTTTTTTTTTTACACTGATTGCTTTTACACCCATAAAGGCTGTAAAAGCAATCATTTCTCCCTTCTTCTCCCTCCATTCTTGCAGCCATTGAAAAATACTGTGTGAGCTATGACTTGTCACAGCTTGTCACATGGTACAAGGCTGTTGTGAATAGCCTTGTAGGATGTGATCTCTGTGATCATTCACAGATTTCACACATAGTAAGCAATGATGTCAGAAGTGGCATCTTGCTTACTACTATTCATGTGATCACTGATTGACCAATCAGTGATCACATGATCAGGACCTCACACAGAGGTCCCATACAATGATCGGTGTTAATCCTGGTGGTCAGTAATAAGCACTTTCTTACTTTGGTGCTCTGTGATGCATGCCCCTTTACATACAGTAGGTAATCAGTGGGGAGTGCCCCATTTTCTTGGTGATCAGTGTGAGCGCCTCTCATTAGTGGTTCGCTTGTTGGTGTTTAGGGGCTAGTGCCTTTTTAAGCTGGCGATTAGGTGTGAATTTCCTTGTCATTGATAATAAGAAGTGAGTACCTGCATGATTTGTGGTCAATAGAAGCTTAGTAAAATAGATATTTCATGTTCAATGGGTATTTACATGAAAAAGAAGCTTTGCAGGTTTTGTGTCACTGCCTCTTGCCTCTTTGGAGTAATGTAGTGCCCCTACTGAGTACCTACATGGACTGTTGGACAGAATAGCTCTAATTAGACTCAGAGCAGGATATCACATCGTACACTGCACAAGCAGAGATGCATTCAATTTAAATGTTTTCAAAAAGGCTTCAGGAGATGAGCAACACTGAACTGCAATAGTGAACTTTAAAAAACATGTGATCTGTGAAAACAAGTATTTTGTTAAATATAGCAAAAAGGCAATTGTTTAGGATACACAGCTCTTTATCAAATAAATGTCAATCGGTTAGGGTAAACATCTACTTAAAATAAATATTCCTTATTCAATGTTATGGTGCACGGAAAGGTCCAGGTAGACAGGAGTCACTGATCTTGTACAAGTCTTGCAATATCGCAATAATATCAGGGAACAAAACAAAGCAACATTACATTGTATGTCAATAAAAATATGCATTCATGCAATCACTACTGCTTACATAAATATATTTTATTATCAGTCAGCATACTGGGCCCGAAAACTCAATTTAAGGAAGCCACTCCCTTACATCTTAGGGCAGTGTCTATAAAAAGTTATATTCTCCATAAAAGGTCCATGGAGAAAAGCATGACCTTTTTATGTTGCTCACACATATGCCGGTTTGTACTGCAACCACAGGAGTCTTTTTATTACATCTATTTAATGCTGCATAAGGCCACTAAGAAGAATGACCTGGCCCTAAAAGGGCTCACCGGTGTTATCAACCACCATCTTTTGACTCCACTACAATGAGCTAGGCCATTGCAAATTAATGATGCATCCATGTGAATCAAGGTAGAATGATGAATTTCCACTATATTAAGTGTTCTTTTCAAGCCATAATGTTCTTTTAGAAAAATACAATTACCTAACTTAAATGGATTTTCCACTTTTATCATAAAGTAGAGAGCCCCTTCATTAAGTAAGCACGTGACACATCAATACTTTTTGGGTAAAAGCCTCAGTCTCAAACCCTATGATTCTGCTCGCAGCAAAAGTAATGTGACTTAGGTTCTTGGGAAATCTTAAAATTGATCCTATATGAGTTATTAGGATAGATCCTAGGGAGTCTGCCAACCAGTTAAAATACTTATCTATACAGGTGGTGATAAAGCTGCAAATCCCTGGGCACATCATCGTGTTATGCTTTCTGAGCCAGCTCTTCTATGCTAACGTAAACCTTTAATTGTTGATTTATACAGATTGTACTTTAAAAATTAATATGTTTATAATAAATTCTCTGTGTTAGATTTATACATCTATAACAGTCAAGTTAATGTAAACTCTGCATGTTTTATTTATTTGTTAGTGGGTGCATGGGTCCATTATATCTCTGCAAAGAGGTCAGCCTGACCTGGCAAGTATCTCTTACTCCATTCACTTAGCTTGGTTCAGGTGACCCAGGCTATGAACAACACTGCTAGTGAATAATTGATAACAAAGATATCCATTGTTCCACAGCTCGGTTAAGAATGACAAGTCATTAGGGCTGAGAGAGAAAAACTTCAAAGACATCAAATACAGCACTAGCGTGTAAGGACATTTATTTTACAATGTAGTAGCAAAAACATGAGCTTGTACAAATTGTTATGAATTAACTAAAACCAGCTAATGTTTAATCCTGCAACTATAAAGGCATGATGATTTATATAAAGCAGTGATCTAATTCTAATGCCAAAAGCATAATACCCCAAAACAGGCTCTTATGGTAAAAAAAATTCCTTTAAAAAATATGTCATATATTTTTTTTTCATAATCAAAAGCTAGACACTGGAGTAGTGCTCTGTTCTTAAGATATTAGACTTTACACTAACCCTCCCAGGAACACCAGTTCTGTAAACATACCCCTTGTTTGTGTACCTGCTTCTGCACTGAAGATCAATCCTTCCTGTGCTGAAAGATATCAGCAAAGTGATCTTACCAGAATCTATCTTTGACATAAAAAAACATATGAAATGCACCAAAAAATGCTAGATCCATGTGTCTAAAAATAAAATAAACAACATAGATCATTAATATCACTTCAAAACATTTAAAAAAATATTATTTGTGGCCTTTTGTGAAATTAAGTTTTGAAGTTTGGAATTGACTGTTCTGACTTAATAACTTTTGTGTATAAATGTCAAGCATAAGTCAATAAGTTCTGTAAAAAAATATGTTTTAAATGAGCAGAAAAAATAAAGAGTGTAAAGGAGCTTATAGCTCCACCTGTTGGCTTTAAAAAAAGAATAAAGAATATTAATATTCAAAATTTCTTATTCACCTGACTAAATACATACTGTATATTTTAAAAGGTTTTTTAGTATTGACCACAATAAAGAAAATATGTAAAAAATCACTAAACATCTATTTATTTTATAATATCTGCCTCAAAATAGCACTAGCATCAGGCCAATCCTAAGTAATGTACAGAATTTTCTGCTTATGTGGCTGTGCCAATGACAAATGATAACTAATGATTTAAATATCTGCCCCATATGGTATAAGAAAGTAAACCAAGTCCACACGATCTTCAAGCAGAGGACCAGAAACAAATAGTTCAACAGTTGTTTAAATTGTATACAATATTCAGTGCAGCCATGGTATAATATTTATTTTCTCACCTTGACAACTAGCGTAACATTTTTCTGCAATGTTTCATGGCAACAGTTATTATCTGATGGGAAGTAAAGCAAAAAGTTCCATATATCATGATACATTGGCCAAGCAAAGGGGAATGTTTTACTGGCAGTGCTGATTTTTTTAAGGGAGTTATGACCATTCTGGCTAAGCATGGTACTTTGTACATTGACCTAGCCAAATTGCTGTAAAGCAAATATCAAGCTGCACAGAATTTTACAAAATACATCAATAGTTCACTTACAAACCTTACAAGCGGTTAAAGATATCTTGATCTGTGGGCAATGAATACTTCTTACAATATCCTAAGAGTAGCATCTACCCGGTTTCTCTGCAATGCTCCACAGCAACTAGATCCTTTTCCAGTCTGATTTCCTCCAGATATCCACTGCATTTGAGGGCTTGGGTCCTTTCATATTATCAATTATACTTGCCCAGTTCTGTCAACTAAAGTATTAGTAACTTCCTTTTTGTATCATATTACTTTTTAAATATCTCCCATATAGTAATTAGAGGGTACTGGGCACATCATCATGTTTAAGACGTTTGTGCCAAAATGCATAGCTAATTAGTCACCTGCAGTTCAGTGACTAAAAAATTTTTTGAAAAGTGTTTTTTTTTGTAACATTTTTTGGCCTCTCCATAATCTATAGCATCCTCTAGGACCCATTAAGAAAGCTTGACCACCAGCTGCAGCAGCAAGGTTGAAGTTCATGGCAGATGGTTTGCATTCTGGCACCTTTCACCTATCAAAGGAAGCAGGAGCAAAGACATATCTTCAAGTAGCATAATGTTGGCATGGCTTACCATTATGGACTATGTTTAAATTAGTAGGGTTTAACAGTAATGGATTTTTACTATCAGTATAGGAAAGTAATCAATACTATTTTAAGGAAAGTACTTTGATTGCAGAGACTACGTTTATTCAAATGCAAATTTTACCAATCTGTTTTTCTCAGTTGTTTTAACACAAATGAAAGAGAAATATGGGAGAAATGGTAATGCCTCATATCTGCATCCCAATACTTTATTGGTGGCTTCTACACTCCC